ATATAAACTGAGCAAGTCCTTAAACTCTGAGCAAAAGCCAGGAGCAGGCCATTCCCATGGTTGTGGACCATCCATTATAGAGTTATTAAAGCCAGAATGCTTCAAAGTAAAGGAGTTCCAGAGCAAAAGGCAAGTGCACCAAGAACAGAAGAAAAGTACCAAAGTGAGCAAGTTGACTCTACGGGACTGGCTCTTAACCTCTCCTAACTTGAAAGCAGAACACTTAAAAGGCGGTGAGTTTGGTGTTGTCAAACATGGGTCCAAAAGGGTACACCCATCTAGAGGAAGAGAGAGTTTCTCCAAGGACAGACTACTGGTGCTTGATCATGTAGCTGATAAAGAAGACTATTCTACTGTTTCTTCGGTGAGTTTACTTGGCAGAACCCAAAGTGGCAAGTTACAAAAGAGGGTGAGCTTTAAACTACCCGAAGAGGCTGACATAATCCTATTTTACTCTCCACAAGACTCATCGGAGAGTCCCCAAGATTGCTCCATGTAATGCATGTTTCCAAGTGTATCAATGGGGTTGGTTTGCTGCTTCTCTGTTCATGACTTTCTTCATAGCCATGTTTCGTTCCTGTTATGTCTACGTCATTTAACACCGTGACTTGGCGCAACTAGCTCCAAGCAACGAATAATTAGTTGCCCTAGATCGAAGGGATGCACATTGCTTGCAAAAATCACACAAGAAAGGTTTTTTAATCAGTCCTAGTCTTAGACTTGGGAGTTGGGATGATAGCAGTAAGATTCTTCCTGTTGGCATTGAAGTAAAAAACAAATGCATCCATGTTACTCATTACAAGACCACCTCTATCATATCTTGCATGAATCTCCTACTCTGTTTCCATAAAAGAAAACCAGCTAAAACAAGCTTCTTAGAGAATTGCACTGGAAACTTCCTCACGCTGAAACAAGATTGAGACTTTGGACGAGCTTCTAGGAAAAGATTCACAAAGAATTGGCGCTACCTGTAGAGTGGTCACAGGTTATTCTCATACTTGCATCGCAAATTACAAGTAAATATCTTGCCATGGTATTGGCCTGCCCGCCAGTCGGGCTTCAACTTAAATTCTGTTCTGGCCTATTTAACAACTCGTTTTAAAAGTATTCAAATCATTTTAATATTTTAATATACTGATTTTAAAAATAATTTTAAAAAATAAAAAAATATTATTAATATATTTTTTAAAATAAAAAATATTTTAAATAATAACTATAACTATAGTTCCAAACATATTTTTATAGTTTATTTTTGTGGTATAAAATATGGTACAGTGCAACCATAATTAATGACTATTTAAAAAATAATAAATCATTGGTTGAAAAATGTGGGATTCATATAATAATTGTGGTCCAACCGTAGATTCATCGAAAAAATATCATACCTACTTTTCATGTTCTCTTGACCTATTTCTCAACATCCCTTTGTTTTCATCAACGGTTCACATTTTTTTTTGTCAGCCTTTTTCCTTTCTTGAAATATCTGTTATAGATATCGTGTTTTTTTTTTTGTTTTTGAGTTGCATTACTTAAGACATTGAAAGTATTTTAATTTACTGTTACTTAAAAAATTATGTTATTTTAATTATTACCTTCATACAACATGCTGATAATAATACACATTAGACTTATCATTGTTTTTTTATTTAATTATCTAATACCTAAGAAATACTAGCAAAAATTTCTTAAGTATTGTGTTTTATTTAAAAAACTAGTATTTAACATTATTCAATAGCACTATATAATTTCATTAGAAAAAGATCTCATGATAACGTAGTATTTACCTGATATTGTTGCATGCTCAGGAAATCATGAAAATTATAGTCATTGTTGGATGGATTTCTTACGTGATAGAATTGCAAATAATTTAATGAAATAATAAAAAATAATTTATATAAAGTATTGTTTATTTCATGATGTAATGACAGTAGTTAAATCAATAATATTTTAATTGAAAACTATCAATATTAATATATGTTTTTTTTAGTTATTTTATAACCTCAAATTAAAAAACATTATTAACCAAACACATTAAATTATTTTTTATTTAACCAGCCATAGTTTTAACTAAACATATATTTTTCCAAACCAACTTCAACTATAAGTACTTTTTATAGAACAACTTTTTTCAAACTATAATTATAAAAGTTACCACAATACCAAATACAAAAATTGATATTTATTGATCCCTTCGAGAATGTCGTAACAAGTTCTACACTTATTAACCCTCGCCTGACTTGGAGCTTGATAGAGTTGGACTTGAACTGGTATTATTTCTAATTATTTTGAATATTGACTTGGTTAAATTTAATGACCTGATAAATTGATTCGTGATCTAATTGATCTAACTTAGTTAACTATAAGAATTTTTTCAAAAAAAACTTAAATTTGATTTTTTAAATAAAAAATAACTCAAATTGACTTGACAATCCAATAACTTATACTATAAATTAGGTTAAACTCTGAGCTAAGTCGGAAAACTATGGTTTTACATAATTTAAAACTAACAATTATAAAGAAAAGTAAATGGCACAGGAAAAATATTGTAGCCCCACTCCATTGTTCATCTTCTCATAATTTATTGTGAATTTTCATAATGAATTTTTTCACTATGGTCATCAAAGTTTCTCTCCTCAATTCAATTATTTTGTAGCCAAATTGATAGCCAATTGATTTTGATTGGTTGAATTAGGGTATAATTGAAAGATTGGGGATCAAAGTAAAAAAGACATCAAAACTTGGTGGAACTTTTAAAATTTGTATGAAAAGTTTATTTTGGTCCTTAAAGATTATAATTTCTTTTTTTTTCAATCCCTTTAGTTTTTAAGATTTTAGTTTTGGTCTAAAACTTTATTTCCCTCATTTATTGTTTTTTGGTTTGAGAGAGAGAAAGAGAATCACTAAATTCTGATTGTACAAAAAAAAGATCTTGGTTGATACTAATTCAGTCTATGAGAAAGGTTAATATTAGTATCAATGAGTTACACTTAATGAAGAGAGTCTCATCTAAGTTTTATTTTTCCTTTTCATTTTTTGAAATAATAGGAACTCTAAAAGTTTAATTTCTAGGTTGATTTTGGGTTTTTAGATCACTATTTGGGTTATTTAAAGCCATTGATAGGTTTTGAAGGTATACAGGATGTTTTTTAGGTGTTTGCGGTAAAAAATAATAAGTTAAAAATCAAGTTTTTTAGAAAACAACCCGTAGCCTAAATGTCTAGTGACTTGTTGGGCCTGAAACTATGCCAATTGGCTACACGTCAACTTTTTTTTTTGGTTAAAAATGTTAAGAGAGGATAATAAATTGTTTGCCCTTCAAAAAAAATAAACTGATGTACTTGGATTTTTTTAAACTAAAAGGGTGCTAGGTCACCCCGGCTAAACCTATACATTTGAGCTTCTTTTTTGGATCCATTGGTTTTTCTTTTTTATTCCTTTTCCCTTTCTAATTTGATTTTTTAATTTTGAGTTTTTATTGAATTTTTTTTGTTGGTTGTTTTTCCTAGTTTTTACAGATTTTTATGATTTTTTAATAAAATATTATTTATTTTTTACTTAGTTAACAAATACACTTTATTAGTTGTTTTTTCCCAATTTTTATAGATTTTTATGATGTTTTTTAATAAAATATTATTTAATTTTTACTTAGTTAATAAATACACTTTCAAATTTTTGTTTCCTGACTTTAGAAGGCATTCTTTTTGTCCAACCCTTTTATTTTTCTTTACTTTTATAAAATCGCTTTCGTATGTATATTTTTTTTAACTAAATAAAACTTTGTTTTCAACAAATATTTTTATTAAATACAATTAAGTTTATGACATGTGTTTTAATATCATATAACTATATTCATATTTATCTTTTAATTTTTTAATTTATGTTTTGGTTAAATATTATATAGTTTTTATTTTGTTTTCACATAAAATAATAGCATTGTTTTTTTAATATACACAACCTTAGATGATATTTTTTTCACTTTAATTTTATTTAAAAGATTTCATATATATATATATATATCTATTTTTACTATCATTTTATTAAATAAAAAATTAATTCTAATAAAAAAATTTATTAAACATAACTATACAAAATGAGTTATATTGTGAGATTAATTATCATTATCTATATTTTTTATTTAATTTTTTCAATTTAATCTTTATATTTATTAATGCAAATAATTCTTAATTCATTTAATTAAATATATGACTTTTCAATTTACTATTTGAGTCTTTTTTTTTAACATAAAACAACGTGATGGAAAAGCCTTAATATATATATATAGATATAGGGAAAAAAAAAGCTGTGGTGGAGCTTATGTAAAGTAGCTAGTGTATGCGAATCCTGAAGTGGAGAAGGGCCCATTTGATTATCTACATGAAATTACTGAAGGGACAAGGGGCTCGCCGATCTACATGAAGCTTCAAAAAGTAGATGAAAATTGAATGGAAGGTACCGTAGCATGCCTGAAATTATCAATGAATCCACCATCAGTAGTTGTACATTCTGGACCATCCAGGGCATTAAATTGCTTACCGGTTCTGAGTTGTACTCTAAATTAATTGAATTTGGAAGGATACATTTTGCTTGGTCCATAGCTCATCCTCAAAAGGTGCATTTATGGGGACCAAACACTTCCACCCATCTAACCTCCCAATAAAAACTTTAGCTTTCACCCCCATTTCAATGGCGGTGTTTATAGGATGTTTTTTTTTAAATAGTTTTTTATTTTAAAATATATTAAAATTTTTTTTTATTTATGATATCATCAGATTAAAATCATAAACGAATATACTAGAAGAAAATATTGATTTAATATCTTTTCAAGAAAAACGATAATTGAAAACATTATAGTTAATTAATTCCTTTCTTTAAAGAAGGAAAAGAAAAGAAAAGGGCCGTGACGTCGAGTGAAGAAAAAATATCTAAACGGCGGCAAATCGCGGGTCATGTCTCAAAACGTAAAAATGCGCCAACATGTAAAAAACAAAAGAGACAATTACCATCAGGTCAACAGAGTTGGAAGCAGATAGACAAAACCGAAGGAGCACCTACCACGTATCAGGCACTAGCACACTAGAGCCAAGCCACCTACGATTCTTTGCTTTTATATATACGCTTTTGAAAGGAGGTTGCGAGGCAAGTAAAATGGCAGTGCTCAAGGAGATGTTGATGCTTCTGGTTCTAGTTTCTGTGAGCCTTGGTGTTGGAGCCCAGGTGCACCATATTGTTGGAGGGGAACGTGGCTGGGACCCTTATGCTGATCTTGGTCTCTGGTCCTCCGCTAGAACTTTCAGAGTTGGAGACAAAATTTGTAAGCCATCTCTCTCTCTCTCTCTCTCGATATTTTATTTTCAGAAAGATCTTTTATTCTGATGATAACATCTGTTTGGCTGATGAGAAATGTAAAGAATATCAAGTCCATGCGCCTCTGAAATATACTAGTTATGCCATATATATCGAGAGAGAGTTTTGTTGTTTGGTTCCAATGAATTCAAAAGTACAAAAATTGTATCATTTTTCCAGGAAAACTCGTGTATTGTCATGGATTCTATAGAAAACTATCAAAGTCTTGAATTATAAACTGTCGAAGAAAGAAAGAAAAAAGGGGTGCTTGTAAATAAGAAAGAAAGTGAAAGGTTCAGATTTGGTAGTAACAGATTCAGCTTGATTAAAATGATGGCAGATTTGGTAGTATAAACTAGTTTACAATTGACTAATTACTTATTTTGTTTTGAAAATTACTATTTTTTTTTAATCAAGATTGGAACTAATTCCCAGATATCGTAATAAAATAAAGTGTTGTAAATCCAAATTTTAGAATATACTGATATTTTTATCTAATTTTTATTCTTAAGAGTGATTTTGATAATGAATTAGCATAGTAATTCCTATCTTCTACAAGTAAATTCGAGTTAATTAAAATGATTTTATTTTTTAAAATAGAAGCTAAACCAGTTTGTGGGTTGATTTGTCATGTAAATTCAAATTGAATTTTTTTTCTTTTCACATTGGGCTACAAGGCGTGTCGACCGGTGGAAATAGACTAGGTTTAATAATAGTGTGGATTTTATTACATTTGTATGTGTATTTTGATACTTGAGAATTGCTTGTAATAATATTTTGGAGTCATGGGGTGTGACATGTGGTGAGGGCAGGGTTCACCCACTCAGCAGCACAGGGTAAAATAGCTGAGGTGGAGACCAAAGAAGAATACCTAACGTGTGATGTGAGCAATCCAATCAGAATGTACACAGATGACATTGATAGCATCTCTCTTGATGGAGAAGGGATTCGTTACTTCACAAGCAGCAATTCTGATAAGTGCAAGAGTGGCCTGAAATTACATGTGGAGGTGGTTCCAGAAGGGAAAACTGATACCGCCACCGCCACCGTCACCGCCACCCCACAGGTTGTCACATCAGAAAGCTCTGACAAGGCTGTTGCTGCTTCGCCTGAAATTTCAGGTTCAGCCCATATTGGCGCAAGTCTTGCGTTGTTAGTGGCTGGATTTTGGTTATGCTCCATGGGTGTTTAGATTTTGGATTTTGTATGGGTGATATCGAGATTGCTTTTGCTTGCTTCCTGACTTGGACTCTATGATAAGTGGAACTTATATATGGCTTGGAAAACTTAAACTTTATGTTAATTCGGACATGTTATGTTTTGTTTGATTGTTGAATGGATTATTTACATTAAATTTGTCTCATAATTGTTAGAGCTGGTTCAAATGCGAACTAAGAAAAAAGAGCTTGGATCATCAAACAACCAAGTTAAACCGATAAGTTATTTTAGTAAAAAATGCATTGTTTCATTCCTTTCTTCTCTTTTTTAAAAAATAATTTTCTCAGAGCCGATGCATGGCTACTTCTATTAGTCTTTAGTTGCGGGTTTATTAAACCAAACCACCCACCGGGCAGTTTAACAACCATGATTTGTGTTCTTTTTTCTTGTTGGTTCGAACTCTTCTGCAAAACAACATGCAAACTTGAGACTTGATGATTTGCTTGCTCAGCAACTGTTAATAGTCTCGGTTTTGATGTCTTTTTGCATCACATGTGGTCAAGCAGAACCCATATCCCAAGTTCGTGGCCACCATCCTACAAGTATCAACTCGGAAAAATCACGGCGACGAAGGGTTTTGCTGATTCCCAGCATCCACACATCCAGAATCCTCAAAACAGCAACACACTCACCATACAGAAAAATTTTCAAATATATTTTACTACAGAGGAAATTTTACAAGTATATTTTTTCATCATCGAATTGCTATAACAAAATTATACGGATAATGGTCAGAACACAAGTTACATGGACGAGCTCGCATAAGCACAAACGTAATAGAACACTGTAATGTGAATTTTTCTTTTCTTTTCTTTTCTTTCAACAAGAGTAAAAGGATAAATAAGCGGCGCCGTGGGAAATTCTGCGCGGGAATCTCAGAACACAGAAAAAGTTATCGTTTGTCCCTCAACACAACAAAGTTAGATCCACTGGTCTTCTGAATCTTAGAAATTCTCCTTAGAATATCCGCAAAAGCCTTCTTGTCCTGCATTAATGAGCTTCCACCAGTTAGAGAACGGGGTGGGGTGCATCCAAAACATTTATATTAATCTCCTGTGAGGCCCCACACTTTAAACATGTGATCTCAAGTTCATATGATTCCTGTGGTAGTGGAGCTTAGCCATCCCCCACCCCTTGATGACCCGAAAAATCATTGGCATGGCATTCAAACATCCTATTACAGTTGTCTTCTAAACATGACATGTTTTTTCAACTTTAGAATGCGCTCATCCCATCATGCACAACATAGAGCTTCTATGAGCATGAATAGGAGTAACCAGAACTAGAAGCACTGGACGGTGAAGTTCACTGATGATGAGCATAAAAAGAAAATGTTTTGTAAAAAGATGGCATGGTGCTGACTGAAAATAGATTTCCATGGATAATCTTGCAACAGCACAACGAACAGAACAAGTAATTTCAAGTGACAGCAAGGTAATGTGAAGCAGGCTTGCACAAAGCCAAAGCAGAGCATACCTCAGGAGTCCTTAGTCGTGATTTAAACCTAGCCACCAGATCCTGTGTAGTTACGGGTCCATTTTGCAACAAAACAGCCCTAATCTCTTCCTCAGTGACAGGGCCAGTTGCCCCAGATGTTGGCCCGGTTTTTGACGATGATGGCATTGCTTTAGGAGTTGCAGTACCTTTAGTAGCAGGAGAGCTTTCTTCTTTCACGGTAGGTTTTACTTCCTGCTTCCAAAGAACAATGTTAATAGGAAAATTGGTTGTTATACACATTCAACAGCATAGCACGCTGTTTTAGATATATATTTAAAGAAACATCATACATTTTCTGTCTTCACCTTCTTCACAGGTGCACCATTAGAAGTTTTTGCATCATCAGCATTCAGTTTTCTTTTCCCCTTAGCTGACTTGGAGGTAGAAGGGGTTCCCTTAGCAGAACCAGGTGGTGTTGGTTTTGCAGGACTATTGTCAGCAGGTTCCTCCTTTGGCACAGCATCCTTCTGCTTTGGAGCCAGTACAGGAGAACTATCATCATCCATCTGATAAGACCAAACAAGAGCACTGTAAACAAAAGATACAGACATAAATCATACTGCCAAGGAAGCTTCATAAATAGCATGTCAATTCAGGCATCATATAAATTGATTCCCATTATCTCAGGAAAAAAATAAATTCCACACCTGATCACACAATGCACTTTCATATTGCACCAGAAAAACACAAGCAAAAGATTAGCAAATAGAAAACAAGTAAAGCAATGCAATTTTAAAAACACTCTTAGGTTGCCAATTAAACATGCACACAATCAACCATCATAAAAACTCACATCGTCGTCGTCATCGTCATCTTCTGCATCTGACTCATTCAGACCATTTGCTTTCCCAAGTAGCTTCTTCAACTCTTTCCCAGATTTGCTCAGTCCTCCTTCCTCATTCTCCTCATCCTCGTCCTCTTCATCCTGAAAGAATATGCAAAAACCTACTGTTACAATCAGCACTGCAAATAAGAAATATCCCGGGTACTTCTCAACAACAGTGTCCTCCTCATTTTTATTATTTTTTTTTAAACCCTATGTAACTAAAAGTTCCCACATTTTGAAATTACACCCAAAAAAACAAACAAGTGTAACCAGCACCAGGCAAACAGAAAAGAACACTTGTAACATATCAAGCAAAAAGCAATAAGTCAACATGTTCAAAAAGAACATATATAAGTTGAGGCATCAAAACAAGTAGTTTAGATTAGCACCAAGACAGATAGCTAATACATACCTGCTTGATTTCAGGAGGAGCAGGAACTTCAGGGGCTAAATCTTCCCGTTCCTCAGGATCAATGGCAACAGCTTCATCATCATCAGTGAAAATTTCTTCGTGCTCCCAATCATCGCCTAAAACCATAAAAACACGTGCCTGAGGTAGGAATTGCTAGAAAAACTAAATTGCCAAGTTCGGTTAATCAAAAAAAAAACCCGATGTAAAATACCGCATACATGAAGTTCATTGCAAGCCAGGAAAAAAATAAAGCAATGCATCACATCTTGTGTGCATCCCAAGGAAGAAAATATTGATCACAAGATGGCAGAAAAAAGACTAACAGGGAGAAAAAAGACTACCAGCAATTAAAAGAATGTAGAGAAAGCATTTAAACAATTATGCAAGAGATTGGCATCCATAACATGGCATTTGGGAGAAACACTCACCCTTCTCAATATCATCATCATCCATATCAAGATCACCTCCTCTTGGACCTTCTTCATCATCATCACCACCCCCTTTATTGAGTCCAAGCCTACTCTTCCTTCCCGCCTCTTCCTCCTCGTCCTCCTCTCCCTTGTCAGACACATTGCCCTCATCATCATCACCGTTTGCTTTTTTCCGACCTCCCTTTCCACCAGCTGAAACACCATCCTTATCATCTGGCTTCTCCACCTCACCAAATGCAGCAGCTCCATTATGTGCAGCTTTCATCATCCACCTTTCATATCCATCTGCAGTCTTCCTCCTATTCTTCATCTTCTCTTCCGCTTCCTCCAAGGTAAGTTGCTTATAGTGCGCAACCTTGTTAAAGTTGTACCTATATAGAACACAACAAGCAACCCATATGATTACAAAAGCAATCATCCCTCAAAACACATTGAATACACCCGTACATTTACATTCACGAAACCAAAAAGCCAAACATTTTACAGCTACCCCAAATCACTAAACACTTATCGCCCATACCAAGAACCAGCAGGAATAGCAACAAACTCTTTCCCAGACATCATCAACAGATAATAAGTCGCCGATTGCGACCCTTCAAGATGACCCTGATACTGAAACTGCCCAGTTTCATCCTCCAAAAGCCATGGCTTATTCTTAAACTTCTCCTATACAATCCAAATCACTTAATTAGAGTTCCAAAAACAGCTGAGATTAAGCCAAAACTATATAAAAAAAACTATGATTACCCGCAAAGTATCAGTAATTTGGCGACCATGAATTCCTTCTTTCAGCAAAGACCATTTATTCTCGGCATTTTTTTTCTTCGAAAAACCTGGCAATCCAGTCACAAATCTTCCTATAAAATAATTCTTTTCGCTACTCGTACTCGCCCTCACATTATACTCCTAAAAATCCACCCAAAAAAAATCACAACAAATTAAAAACAAATCAACAAAATCAACTAGAGAGAGAAACTGAACTCGAATCAGGCGAGTAACAATAGCGCCACAATCAAAGCATTTGCCGCGATTCTCCGCCATTGCTTTGCCACAAGTCAAGCACAACGTCATATGCTTGCAATTGCTTCCGTACAAATCTGTGGTGCTGCCACAGCCACTACACGACGGCTGTAACTGAAGATCGAAAGACATTTCTCTTACTAATCCTTCAAAAAAATTAGGTTTTTCAACTTCTTTTCTCGAGAAGCAAACGGAAAAATGAAAATTGATAGAAGCTTTAGGGCTTTTCTAAATTATTAAATCATAGAGTTAAAACATCTTCAATTCTTTAGAGATCGATTGATTTTTTTGTGTTCGTTTATTTTTTCAAGGTTTGACCAGACTGGGAAACAAGAGGTGATAGGGAGAGGTGATTTATAGAGAGGAGAGACAGAAACGGCGTCGCTTTGCTCCCTATGGGCTTTAAACCCATGTGGGCTAACCCCTGCAAGAAATACACGGAACCTAGAAAAAAAAACATGTCAAGTTCATTCGAAGCGCGAATGGTTTTGAAACCCGAAACCCGGTCCAGACCTAATGTGACCGAGTTATTAAATCATTGGATCATTGGCTTGATCCGCATCCCTATTTTATCCTTGTTAAGAAATTGATTAATAAATTAAAGTTTTCATTTTTGACTCTAGGTTTATGATTGGGTTGATATTATATTAACTAGATTTATTTGTCATTGATATATAATAAATAAGGAAAAATATGAGGAAAAACACTTTAATTTTTCAATTGTAATAATCATGAGTATTTTAAAAAATCTGGAATTAAAAACAATCTTTATAATAAAATAAATCATGTCATTGACGACAGGATATTTAATAAACTTAAATATGGTTATGTGATTTTTAGTTGTCTGTTTGCTTGGTAATTGGTAGCCTGCGTTTTTAATTATATATTTTAATTCAAATATAAAATAGGTAAAACAATGTTTTTAATTTTAAACAACAATTTGAAAGGCCACATTTCTTGGGTGACAAACGGGCTCCAAATTGGAAATTTTGCAGGCTACAATTTTGGCGTTGGAAAAAGATGGTGGGAGCATTAACCCCAGCTAAGAATTTGGTAGCCATCTACCCTCGTGACTTGCAGCTACAGCCGCCGCGCCCTCCTGGCCGTTAATCCCAACTACCTCTTCCAGCCACCAAACCCCAAGATAAAATTAAAAAGTGATAAATTCATATCAGTCCCCTTTCTAAACTATTTTCTTAATTAGGTCTCAATCTATATTCTCTTAACTTATTAACAAAGTATTTAAGAGTGTAATAGTGGTTTTTTAAAATTATTTTTTATTCATGAATATATTAAAATAATATTTATTTATTTATAATATCGATACATCAAAACAATCAAAAAATAATTTTAAATAAAACAAAAAAATCTTGAATTTTAGCCAATTGTTATGGGGAAGCAATCCAAACGGGGATAAGTCTCTAATTTGTCGGTTAATTCTAAATTTTATCCTTTTTATAAACAAATATTTCCAGGCTATTCCATATTTTGGGGACCCAAGTTGACAGAAAGATATAATGTTGGATCCAATTGGTTAATAATAAAAGTAAGGTATCTATTGAGAAACTTTGTATACATTGGGAACTGACTGTAAATAAGGGAAAGTGAGTCCGTACAAAATTACAAATAGATCCTCCACTTCACCCACTCTTCTCCACTCTGCAACTCTTACCCTTTCACTGCTAATCATTAGCCATTACTGTCAAGCGCAATAGGCCACCGTTTAGGCATCGCGATGGCTTTGAAATCCTTCATCGAAGTCGGCCCTGACTCTCACTTCCCTATCCAGAACCTTCCGTTCGGTATCTTCAAGCCTGAACCCACTTCGCCTCCTAGACCCGGCGTAGCTATCGGCGATTACGTGTTGGACTTGTCCACCATCTCTGTTTCCGGCCTCTTTGACGGTCCGTTTCTCTCCGGCTCCGATTGCTTCCTCCAGGTCCGTTTCTCTTGCTTCCTTTAATTAACGACGTGGTTTTTAGCTCTGTTTTTTTTTATTGATCATACAATTTTTAGTCTTTTTTGCTTAATCTTTTCGAGCAATTGTAGAGCACAATGCGTTAATTAAGATCATATAATAATTATTATTGGATAATTATGATTGTGAGTTTTCTGGTGATTTATTAATAGCCAAATTTGAACAAGTTCCTAGCGTTGGGAAGGCCAGCGTGGAAGGAAGCACGGGCGACGGTTCAAAACTTATTATCAGGCATGATTATTATTTGTAAATGTTTAATTATGTCTAATCTGAGTTTTTTTTGGTTTAATTATGTATTTTGTTTTTGTTATTTTATGATGTAGCTGATGAGGGTAAGTTGCGTGATAATCCGAATCTGAGGGAGAAATCGCTTGTTCCGATGGTAAGATAAGTAAAGAGTTATGAATGTGTGATTAGTTGTGAGGAGATTGTTGTTTCTGTAATGTTGGTTTTGTTTGAGACTTTATAGAGCAAAGTGGAAATGCTACTTCCAATTGCGATAGGGGATTATACGGATTTCTTTTCATCAATGCATCATGCGAGGAATTGCGGAATAATGTTTCGAGGGCCAGAGAATGCGATTAATCCTAACTGGTGTGTGGGTTTTTGTAGAGATGGGAAATAAGTTTTTTTGTTATGATTGATTAGTATGTTCATTCTGCCCTAGTCATTCAAGTTTATGGAATCATGCTTGATTTTCAGGTTCCAGCTTCCCATTGCATATCATGGACGATCTTCATCTATTGTTGTGTCTGGGACGGATATCATTCGACCAAGGTAAGAGAATTTATTTATTTACTCTACTTTATTTACTGTTTACGCATCAAGGGATTTTTCTTTTTTCCCTAATTGTGTTTGTGCATTTTTGTGTTTCTAGAGGTCAAGGCCACCCAAATGGAAACTCCCCACCATATTTTGGACCTTCAAGAAAGCTAGACTTTGAATTAGAAATGGTTAGCCACCTAGCCTTTTATTATATGATGACATGTTTATCATTATTTTTCCCTAAATCTTTATCTGTTGTTATGTCAATACTAATTACATTTTTATGTAGTTCTACAATATGTTTCAAATTTTTTTGTTGTTTATACTGGCTGTCCTGTTGCTGGCAGGCTGCTGTAGTTGGTCCTGGAAATGAATTGGGTAAACCTGTGGATGTTAATGAAGCTGGAGATCATATTTTTGGACTTGTATTGATGAATGATTGGAGTGGTATTGATTCTTAACAATGCTCTTCTGTCTGCAATATATTTATTTATTTTTGCGATATCACTAAATCATAAGAAGTTGGCTTTGACAGCTAGAGATATTCAAGCATGGGAATACGTGCCTCTTGGGCCTTTTCTTGGAAAGAGTTTCGGTAAGGCTGGAAACCTTACTTTTCCACCTCTTGAATGCATTTGTCTGATTTTGGGTTTGGGATATGAAACTTTGACTATTAACCATTCAATACATGTATAATTTGCTTTTTTTGTGTTGTTTTTTGGCCTTATTTTTTCTTACCTGATAAATAGGTACAACAATATCCCCTTGGATTGTGACACTTGATGCTTTAGAGCCATTTGCTTGCGATGCCCCAAAACAGGTAGCTTATTTCCGTTGGTTACAGGACATAACACCATTTTGGTTGATAAGTTTGATCTGAATTTTATGCTGCACTTGCATGCTTTATGACATATCCTGTGAATTGCAGGATCCCCAGCCCTTACCATATCTGGCTGAAAAGATATCAAAAAACTATGACATTTCATTAGAGGTAGCGTATCGCAGCCTTTGGACATTTTTTTAATGGTATTTCAGCGTTCATGAAAATGCATTGTTTTGTCTTACTAATGGCCTCTTTTCCCCTGATAAGCACATGCATTAATCTCATTTTAGGCCTTACAGGATTCTAATTCTATGTTAAACTGGGAACTTTGAAACTTGTTTCCTTCTAAGAGAGTGATTATTATGCCTTCTGTTCTAAGGTTCAAATCAAACCAGCTGGTCAAGAAGATTCATGTGTGGTCACAAGAAGCAACTTCAATCACTTGTAAGGCCTCTTGAATCCTTTTGTATTTGCATCATGATGAAGTGCAGTGCCTTCAAATGAGATCTGTTTCTTGGATAAATGGCATTCATATCATCTCCTTTTTAGGTGTCATTACCTGTATAGTGAATAATCGATCAGTTGTCCTATAACACTAAAAACATATCACACTGTTTATCCATCAAATAAGAACTCATGTTATTTAAGCAAAGATATCGTGTCTGTATTCTTGTTTCTAATTATGTTTTGAGTTTGCTGACTTTTATTTGCACAACAGGTATTGGACAGTGACTCAACAGCTTGCACACCATACAATAAATGGTTGCAACTTAAGGCCAGGAGATCTACTTGGAACTGGGACTATCAGTGGACCTGTAGGGCTTCAATCTTGTTAAATTTTGATATAGTAGTGATGCCTGAAATTCCAGTTTTCTTGCCTCCTATAATTTGCTGCCCCTTGTGTTGCCAAACAGGAGCCAGAATCTTATGGATGCTTGTTAGAGCTGACATGGAATGGACAAAAGTCACTCTCACTAAATGGAACAACAAGGAAATTCCTTGAAGATGGAGATGAAGTCGTGTTCAGTGGTTGTTCCAAGGTTATTTCCTTGTTCGCTTTCCTAAAGCATTTTCCGAAACAAACACTCACATCCTTACACAAGGAACTTATCCATTTGTGCCTTATAATCTCGTCATCTATTGAACAATTACAAAACCCTTTCTTGTTACTCTTTTGGCTTGGTAGAGATTTCCCGTAAGTATCTATGATCAAATATATTTTATGCATGAGCAAAATTAGGTTCTTGGAACTTATCTTGTTAGCCTTATTTTAAGCAAGCTGGCAGTTTTATGAACTTGGTTGTGTGTTTTGTTTCTCGCATCACACTTGACCACATTTCATTTCTTTGTATCATGTCAAATGCAAAACATCCCTTGAAATTTAATCCATTTCAGGGAGATGGTTACAAAGTGGGGTTTGGCACATGCTCTGGAAAAATCCTGCCATCACCCTGAACATCAAATTGCTTGTGCGTCGTGGGATCTATGTCAGCTGATGTCCATGTGATAATCCAATAATAAAACCCGTTGGCGGGTGGAGCTGTTGATTGTTGGGGGCAGGATAATTTGTGTGAGTCCAGGAGGATAGCAGTTCTGATGACTTGAAATTCCCTGTGAAGATAAAGGAGAATGATCGGTAGTGGCTAGAAGTAAAAATGCTATTTTGTTGGTTCCATCTACTGTAAAGACAATGAAATTCGATGTTGTAATGCTTCTTCTCAAGTAAAAATTTACGAGTTTCCAATGTCTTTGTTGCTCA